TGATAGTAAATTTATATGACGTTATTTCAAGTTAGGTGGTTAGTGGCAGTAAGATCTAGACTAACCTTGTATAGAAAAATTATTACAGGTTTTAAATACAGAAAAACATGGATTTGTATCCAAGAATTTACTTGCATCCTTAACCTCGTTGAGCCTTGGTTTCTTCATTTAGGGTAAAACTTATTCCATAGGATTAGTGTAAAAATTAAAAGAGCTAATATAATATCTTTAGCATAGGGCCAGGCATCTAATATAGAGACTGGCATCTAATAAGCTGTCAATATATGTGAACTCCATTCCCTTGCTTTATTCTGTGTGCCCCGAGCACATAAGAGTACCATAAGGACTGTATGGTATTTAAGAATGAAGCCATGTATGTGTTTCTGGTGATACGGCCTTTGCTAGAACACGTGTGATCTAATCAAGACCTTCACGTGTGACTCCGCCTTGAAGGGTACTAGTAATCCCAGCATCTGGCATGAAACTCCTCTTCGAGATGATAAAGTAGCTCTCATTTCCAAAGACAAACCCTCCCAGCAGATAATACCCAATTTATAAATTGCCATGAAGTGTAAGTAAGATAATCCACGGAAAAGCACCTACTACAGTGCCTGACACATGGTAGGAGCTGAATAAATACAGGTATCATCATCATCATCATCATCTTCCCTAGCAAGGTCTGATATTCTGTTCTTATTCTTTCATTAATAGTTAATTTTAAAAGAACATTTTACTTCTTTTATGTGAATCGAGGACATTTTTCACCCTAGAACGCCCTAAAAGAGCATACCAGATCTAGAATCCTGTGAAACCTCACCCAGTTTAAACCCTTGGCCTTAAGTAATTAGAAAAAAGAGTCTCTTTCAAAATTGAAGACAGCTAAAGTGCAGTACAAGCATAATTACTACCTTGTTCAAACATGTAATGCGAAAAGTCCAAGACAACACATGCATTAACAGAGGTTACATGGGGTAAATCTGGGGGCTACTTCTGGTGAGAGTGGGGGGGGGGAGCCTGGCAGCTTCTTCATTTTTCCTGAGCAGAGATGGCTGAATAACCGGGAAACTACAGGCGGTGAGAGTCTCATTCATTCATCAAACTTGTTCTGAGAACCTTCTATGTGACAGGCACTGGGGGTAGAAAAGGGGATAATTAAAAAATAAATAAAGGAATTCTTGCCTGGCCAGGCGTGGCTCAGCGGTTGAGCGTCGACCTAGGATCTGGGAGATCGTGGTTCGATTCCCGGTCAGGGCACAGGCCAGGGTTGCGGCCGGATCCCCAGTTGGGGCATGCAGGAGGCCGCCGATCAATGACTCTCTCCTCATTGATGTTTTTGTCTCTCTGTCTCCCTCTCCCTTCCTCTCTGAAATCAATAAAGGTATATTTTAAAAAAGAATTCTTAAGAAGGGGGCATCTGTTTGAGAAGGTAAAGCATGTTGACAAGTATACCACGAGACAAATGGGGACAGACATCATGAAGCAATACAAGTCAAAGTACGCAGGGAGTCAAGAAAGGACTGATGGCTTATGCCCGGAGAGCCAAGAGCAGCTCACCCACCAGGCTGCCCTTCGATGATGACTGTCTGAAAGCCCCTACTCCTCCGCAGTACCTTTCACTCCCTTCATTATAAATGACCCTTCTCACTGGTGAGAGGCAGGGTAAGGGCACAGACTCTGGAGCTGGGCTGCCTGGGTTCAAATTCAATTCTATCTGTTATGAATTGTGGGACTTTGTTCAATTCACTAACCATGCTGTGTCTCAATTTCCTTGTCTATAAAATGTTGCTAAGCATAGCAGCTATCTACAAGGCCGCTGCGAACATGAAAGGAGCTAATCTAAGTACTCACAACATCACATAGTCAATGCTGCATACCACAGCATGCTACAGTAAGTGTCAGCTCTTATCACTGTTATCATAGTGGCAAGCACACAGTGGGCCTTCAGAAGTGTGTTGAATGACTAAATGAAAACTCGAAAGGAAAATGCTGCACTTGAGAAGAGAAGATGGAGCCAAATTTCATAAACCCAAGAGCTAAGTTTGAGAGCATCCCTCTTAAGAATCATTTCACGTAGATGGGGATTTGGACACACCAGAAATCACTCATCACTGTAGGAAAATAACTAATACTTAACAGCTTTTGATGTTACAGTAAATGGAAAAAAGTTTACTCCCTTTAAATGTTCTGGAAACAAACAAATTCATTAGTAAAAGGGGGCTAAAATTTCAGGGCTAGAAGAAAACACTAATTGCCTGGAGGACGGGAGCTATGATTTCTAATGTGCAGTCAAAAGCAGCACAACCGAACACAGACAGAGCACAAGCCTCCCTCAAATGTTCCTTTAAGTTACGTTAGTTCATTGGAAGCCAGTCGTGTACAGGAAAGATAGGGAGGAATCACAGGGAGGTATACCTGCTTAGTGCTAAGGTGTCCAGCTTAGTTAAAAATCTTGTTAAAGTCCTAATACAGGAAGGGGAGAGATCAGGCTAAAGTAATAGGCTTTCAGGCCTATCTGATAATGTTTTGTCCACAGGGCAGGGGTTCTTGTATGTCATCCATGCCAACGGGCATTCAACTGCAAATCCACAAGCAGATTGTGAGGTCAGCTATCTACCAGCCCACATTCGGGTTTTTTCCAATGCCTACCACTTTCAGTTGAAACCCCTACCTGAGTCCAAAGCCCTCAGGGAATAAGATGAATCGTGTTACTCATGCAGCCGGGGTAATGTTTACTGCTGTTTAACCACTGAGACTTTTATAAAAGCTATGAGACAGGGCTTGTTTTCAATCCTCAATCATAATTCACCTTCAACAGTACCCTAAATGCAACTTAAACTTTTCTCAAGGTCCAGGGGCTGTTAATAAGAAGCTCTCCCCTGAAGCATGTCTGGCAAGTTATGACTGGCAGAAGGGGACCTCCTCCTACATGTACATAAGTTCCCAATTCCCTTTAGCTAAGGATACAAAATGACTGAGCAAGTGAAGTCTCTACACAGAGCAGGAATATATGCAGTATTATCGCAACTGGGGTTTTTCCTGGACCAGTGGTTCTCTGATGAGTATAGCTCTTCATGACACCAGGCAAACGTCTTGTCCGAGAAGAGAGCTGAATTCTAGGTATGTTACTGCTCTTGTACACCCAGGCATAATACTGTCAGTATTTTTCAAAGTCCTTACATCGACCATCTATGCCCTTCCATTCAGTAGAATATTTCCAAACACTTGGCTCCCAGGATATTGAACCAAATTCAACACCAGCAATGTGACAATCTCCTCTGGGAGGAGAGCACAGCAAGTGGCAGGTGTCCCTGCTTCCAGCTTCCTGGGGTGTCCTCAAAAGGCTTCCCTGCCGTGCCCACCTGACTCTGACTGCAGGATGTTTTACCTGCGGTCCAGGGACGTGATCACAAATCCGTTCTCTTCCATCTACTCTGACCTTCATGCTTGCCACGTCCAATCCTTTCTGGGCTGGGAACTGGAGGTTTATTAGAAATTTACAGAAATGAAGCCAACAGTTTCAGCGAGAGCCTGAGGGTTCCTCCCATGCCTTAAAATACACGCACTTTGTAAGACCTATTTTGACCGCTTAGAGGTTCTCAGAGGAGATTGCTAGGAGATGAGTTTGGCATAAATAAGATGGTTCTGTGGCACTACAGCTAGAGGGTACTTTGGGGGAAACTGGCATTTACTGAGCACTTTACACATTTCATTCATCTTGAATGTGCTTCTCCTGATCTGGTTTCCTCCTCACTTAGTTCAGGTCTCTGTTCACCTATAGCCTTATCTGTGAGGCGTTCCCCAGCTACCCTGTATAAAAAAGCTCTCCACTATGTCTTTCTCTAGTCCCAGACTCCTGCTCTCTTGTAAATCATAGCATTAATGGGCCCTTGGCATGCTATATATTTATTTACTTGTTCGCTGCCCGTCACTTTCCATGAGAATGGCAGTTGTGTGAAGTAGCTGGTTTATGTCTTGCATAGGTGTTCAATAAATATTTATTGAATGAATAAGCCAAGCACAGTTACTTTAAATATCATGTCATTTGACCCCTCCCCACCCTACAAGTGATGTAAAGTCTTTTTTACAGACAGGGAAACTGATGTTGGTGCTACTTGGAGAGCACAGTGTCACAGTTACGAGCATGGATCCTTCAACCAGACTGCGTGGGTGAGAGCTCAGTCACTGCCTGTCTCTGTGACACTGGGCAAGTCGCCCAACCACTCCAGACCTGAAGCTCCTTCCCTGTAACTGGCAGTGATAATCAGAGTACTGTCCGTGGAGCTGTTGTCAGAAGCTTAAACATATAAAAAGCATAGGCGGTTCATGGCTCATAGGCGGTGCTAAACAAGAGGCAAATAAACAAAATCTTAGCTGAAGAATACCTTATAAAAATTACTAAGTTTCTCACTCCAGTTTCGTACTCATGTAACAACCTCCTGACTATAACCCGGCTTTCTGGTTCACCTGTCTACAAAGGAAGTACACATGTGGTTGCTCCGGACTGTGTGACCCAGCTACAGGTTTCTCATCATAAATCAATCCACCTGTGTGCTTGTCTGATGTGCTAACATCAGGGCTCTGAACCAACAGGACTGAGGCCCAAACCCAGACAGCGTCACAAAGGCGCGCCTTGTGTAGTTGCTTAGCAACCTCCTAACCACCTTCTCCAAACAATACAACTTGTATTCCACTGTCCATAACACAAGCTGTTCAACTAGGAAGAAGGAAGTGTCATTGCCTAAGACACCTTTTTTCTGATCAACAGAAAATGGTGAGAGGTTACAGGGAAAATACCTAGGCAAAAATGAGTATTTCACCAACAAATGCCCCACACCCATCCACTGCATACACTACTTCAGAAGAGTGTAGTAACTGTTTGTAGTAACAACCTGCCTGCCCAGGTTTCGTGCGAACCAGGAGATGGACTGTTTCACATCACAAAGGGCTTTCCGCCCTCACTTGAAGGGCAGAGCCAAGTGCCAAGGCCACACGCAGGTTACCTTGCCCTGATGATCGTGTTTCATTTCCCAGCCCCTCGGCAGCTCCAGCTGTTTGTTTGCAAACATGTTGAGGAATCCCACAAGGTCCCGGTTGTGCTGGTAGCGTTCAAAGTGGTGGGTGTCCCGTCGGACTTTGGTGATCATGTGCTTCAAACACGTGTTGTTTGTAAACATGCGGTAGGCACTCTGGAGGAAAAGATGGAGAACCAATGTTAACCCACTGTGACACGCAAAAGCAACATATGCACATGGGTATATCTAGTCTTCTGGTAGGATATAGGCTCCAGCATAACTCTAGACCCACACATGGAAAGAGCAGACAGAGCAACATATTTTGACCAAAATAATATAGAAAGACTATAGAAAGTAAGGTCATCTTTACTGATGATGTTTAGGTATCTAACAAATAAGAATGCATGGAGTCTCATTCTACAGGGGATGTTAGGTCCTAAAGTTTTAGGCAAAAAAAACCCCACACAGTCAAAATGACACCATCCTGGAAACAAGTATACCACCTTACAGTGAGCCCCAATATAGCCAGGTTTCCTCCAGCATTGGAACAGATCACTGGTTCTCCGGGCAAATGCCAATGAAACAGTTGGCATACATTTCAAAGTCAAGTTGTAGAGAAAAGTGCTTGGCCATATATATCTGCATATTAGAAGCACATGTAATGGGCTGAGCTGCTCTCATAGTTGAGTTGTGTTCAACTGAGACCACAGTAGAGTTTCATCTCACACCTTCTTAGAAGCATAAGCTCAGTGAATGGAATGGAAGACAGAACTGCCTGGACTGTATACCTCCATATATATTTTTTTCTCTCTCTATTTTTCCTGTGTGTGTATATAGATGGCTCAATTTATATGACTGAAAATGCACACTTAATAAAATTCCACTATACAACCATGCAAAAAAGTGTTTTGTAAAAAACAGTATAGTCTTCAGCTCTCTGACACTTACAAAATATTCTAAAAACTGATCATAAGCCATGGATTGTCCACATAGGGGTCATTCAACAAACATTCACTGCACAATACCATGTGTCAAGGAGTAAAAAGGAATAATTGTACGGAGCTGTTTCCTTTAATCACTGGAAGGAATATGACATTCATGAAATTGATCTGGCCATGAATGCTCTATCCTGGAATTAAATTCTATTCTTCTAAGATAGATTCAAAGGGCTTTAAATTCCTCTTACCTGAATCTAGAGACCTACAGGTTTTACTTCATGGGTTCTGTCATTTATTTCAGTCTAAGAAGGACTAAGGGAAACCCCAAAGAAACCAGACTCCTGGAAATCATTTCATCTTAATAAACATTCACTGCCTTTGCTGTGTCCAGTACTGTGGTAGTTATTGAGGATAAAAGATGAATAAATATGAGGACCAGACCATCAACAATGTTCCTAATTTTCCAGTGCCCCTCAAGATGTGTCATGTCCAGGTCAAAGCATTTATTAACAACATGTGTCCCTCTAGAGCTTTCTTTCCTTTGGCACAGCAACTGACAATGTTGGAAATGGTGGCTGCTCCCCAGTCTGGGCCCTGGGTCTCTGGGTGATTAAGGGGATCAGAGAACCCTGACAGCCCAATTTGCAATGTGAAACAAACCTTTGTTAGCTTAAGTCACTGAATGTGTTGTTTGCCATTATTGACATGTAACCTATGTTATATAAAACAACTATTATATAGTTATTCTCATTGATTCGCCATCATTATATACTTTGTACTTTGCATTAAAATATTTTCTCCCTATCAAGGCAGAAGGAAGGAAGGTCACACTGAACCATCCTCAAATACTAGTGTACTACAGGTCCTTACTACACCCGAGTGTACAGTATGTTGAGGTCGTATTTCAACCTGAGAGTCTAAACGAGGGCAGGTTTTGATGGCTGTGAGAAATTGTGAGGTTCAGGGCACAGAGTCCTGCCAAAGCAGGCAGGCCCAAGCAGGGGCTCTGGGCAATTAGAGAGCATGAGACAATAAGGAGGTGATACCATGAAAGCAGAGAAACAGGCCAATAAAAGAAGTCGAAGGCCGTCAGAGGCAAACATTAGCTAATTAATAGTTTAGCCTGTGGCTGACCCTGCCTCGGAGTTTAACGTACAATCAGCAAGGCATCTGTTTTTTGCATTTGGCTCCGTGCTGTGCTGCTGATATATTTCCACATAAGCCACTGCAAGCTTAGAGGCCCGAGACCACACCAACCTGTCTGGAGGCAATGGTAATGAGCTTTCAAGTCATAGTCCCTAATAAGTCTCTTCAGGGACAAATTACGGTGGGATAGCTCTGTCAGATAAATCATTACATTAACTGTTGTTCTAAATAGGTGCATTTCTTGATCCCCCTCATTTCTCTCTCCCCACATTAAAGTAACTAAATAGGCCACATCCAGATTCTTTATCTAGAGCATCAGAAATGCTCCTCACTCTGCTAAAGGAAAGAAGCAGAACCTCATTAGGACAAGAAGTAGCAGTAATTAGGTGAAGGAGCCTGTCCCAGCCTCAGGCTTGAAGTAATCCCCTGGGGCTGGACAGCTCTTTAAGCACAGGAGTCTTAAGGCTGGTCTTCTAATTAATTATGTCCTTTCATCTTCCTCCTCTCCACTCAGTGAGACATGTAATATAGTGCCAAGCTCAACTGATCTTTGCAAAAAGCATCTACCAAAGCAAATTAAGCACAAGAAAGATTTTTCTCATTAGTTGCTAGCAGACAACCTTTAGAACCGTTGGTTTTTCAAGTCTGCATAACATGCACATGGCTATTATGGCCCATATGAAACAGTCAAACAGAAACATCCTCCAACTGCTACATTTTTATAAAGAAAATACACATATATTTATTTACATATATGTTTATTTGTTTTAAAATATATTTTGCATGTTATTCAATATGTATACTATTTTTATGTGTGTGTGTGAGTGTGTGTATATATATATATATGTATATGTATGTATGTATATATATGGTTCAAAATGGATATTTATACTCTAGTTAATATAGAACCACAGCAAAGATTCTTGTCACAGCCCTTTCACTCATGGACAGAGACCACGAAAGTCATTTAATCTCTACCTCAATTTTGCTCAGCTGTAGGATGGGATATTAACTGCCCTGCTTTCTTCATAAGTGTGTAGGATTCAAATCCAATGGAACAACGATGTAAAAGATTTATGAAGAGGTAAAAATAACTATAAAAATACAAAGCATAAGTAAATGAATACATCTAAGGAATTATACCTACCATACCTATATTATAACAGATGAGTGATAGTAAAATTGTTTTCTACTTTAAGGTCTTTGAAGATCTTGGGCCAGAATCCCACTTTCTATTAACTGAAGAAGGGTCTCATAACCTCTCATTAATTATGTGCTAGGCCCTGAACTAAAAACCCTGAGGAGAGAGTTGAGCACGGCATGATCACTCAAAAGGAAGGAGAAGGAAAATTATAGGGGAAGGTGGAAGGCAGAAAGCAGAGTCTGGAAAACAAAGGCCACAGTGGCAGTAAAAATACCGAAACACACTGATAGAACTAGAGCTAAGAATTAGAGGGGTCCAAAGAATGAGAAGGGTCTAAAGAGTCGAGAAACACTAAAAAAGAGGCGTTTATTCTCCCTCTGGGGTTTAGTGGTTCTAACTGGGTGAGGGTCCTTTTCTGTGTCTGGGTTGTTCTTTTGTTTTGTTTTGGTCTTATAGAAAAAGAAGCAATAAAGGAGTATGAATTTCTACCTGAAACAAAGTAGATTAGGGAAGGGCAAATGGGACTTGTTTCATAGCACAGCCTCATGACAATGCATAGAATGATCTCCCCTGGGATGATGCAGGTAAGGTGAGTGGCAGCTGTTAACAGCAGACAGAGTCCCTTTGAATGATAGATAAATGGCACAAGTTTTATTTTCCTTTGATGTGATTTAAAATATACAATTTAGTTATTCTTTCTCCGTTCCAAAACTCCCTTTCCCAGTCTTCCTCTTGGTTGATTCTTGTCTTCCTAGCAAGAAACAAATGCTTGATGGCTGAGTGATCAACTGAATGATTCCCGGAATATTTTTAGGGCAATTTTGTTAAAATAACACACAGAGCAGGGGTAGGTAAACTTGTTTCTGCCAAGGGCCATTTGGATATTTATAACATCATTCTCGGGCCATACAAAATTATCAGCTTAAAAATTAGCTATAAAAAAGCTCCTAGATTTCTTGAATTTAGAGTCCTACCTGTGGCTGCCTTGGCAGGACCAGACCAAATGATTTCACAGGCCAAATACCAGCTGAATATATGCGGCAGGCTGGATGTTCCCCACCCCCACCTTAGAGCTTAATGTTCTTTGTTGGTAAGTACATGTAAACACTCAGTACTTATCAATCAACCAATTATTTTTGTGGCACTTTTTTTTTTTTTTTTAGTTTAGTTTAGTTTCATGTGACTATATGTCCTGAATTACCTGGTCCGGTCTTGATTTCATCTTGTTCTGTTCTTTTTAATAACACGGTTAGGCATATTATTGCTAAACAAAATCTATCTTTCATATTTCAAAAATCCTTCACCAAGAATAAGTATTCTGAATTCATGCTTGAAAAACATAATCACTACATCTATAGCAAATATGTCTCATATGTTGGTGCAGATGTGAACATCTGTATACATTACTCACTAAAGGAATTTATTATAAACAAATTCAAGTAACATTGTTTGTGAGGATATGGAAACAGCCCTGTCTTAAACAGTCTGTCTTTATTTTTATTTTACACAGCTGGTCTATATTTTTAATAATAGAGTTTTACATTGTCTCATCTAGCTACAGAGTAAAATGGAGGGGAAAATTTCTTATTGAGGAAACTAACTATAAACTCTCAATTCATCTATTTTGCAATAGCTGGAATTCCTGACTTGCAAAAATATATTTATATATTTTAGAACAATAGTTTTCTTCATTACGCACTAAAAAGTTTATATGGTGGAATTAATGTATTTCTAGAGCTTATTAAAAGCCAGAGTAATAATTGTTTAGCATGTATGTTGGAAACATTATTCAGTTGCATATAATGAATGTATTTATGTCTGACAATTATTAGACAAACACAGGCATACCATCTATAAAAGACATGACACTAATAATTAAATCTTGAGTTATCAGGAGAAATGGTTTATCAGGACACTTTCGGAAGAAATCTAATTACAACCAACAGAGGGCAGTAGAATATATCTTAAAGCAACCATAATGCAAAACAGAAAAAAACAAACACCCAGTATTTTGTTTCTCAGGTTTTCCTTTAGAGTTATAACAACCATATATCTACTTAATTTTTTTCTTTTCAATAAAGATTATTAAGTAAATTACTGCTACACGAAATCTATTTTTTATTACTAACTTACAACATAGACTGATACCTTCAAATCATAAAAAAAAAAAAAGAGAATTAGGAAAGCTTTTAAATTAATATACTCCTTTTGTATGTTGAACATTTTTCAATAACAAACGGGATTTACGGGGACAGTTGTAAATCATAAGCAAAACAAAAGGCTAGATAATAACTCTTAAAATAAGGAAACCAAATAAAACATTCTCCGCTAGTCTCGGAAAAAGAAGAAATTTCAGTAAGTAGTGCCCTTTACCAAAACTTAGCTGACTTATCCTCATAAATTCATATCTTGAGACCGTTAGCAAGAAAAATCCAGCTCCTATAATCCCTACCATACATAAATCAGGGAAATAAACCTTCTTAAACCCAACAGAATTTAAATCTTACAGATATGCAGAGATCTATTAGCAAAAATGTCAGTGCTCTCCTCAAAATATGCCCTATATTCACCCACCTGTCACCCTCTGTACTTCTGCACTCGTCCAAGCCTCTTCTACATCTCAGGGTCTTTTCACTTGTTTCCCTGATGCCAATCTTGCCATCTAAAACCCATTCTCGGCGTAACAGCTAGAAGCAGCTTTTAAAAATCGAAACTATACCCCTGTAGAAAACCCCTTTAGAATAAAGTCCGTTTAGAATAAAGCCCAGACCCCTTGCCAGATCATCCAAGCCTTACATTCTGAAGCCCAGCTCCCTCTCTGACCTTATTATGACCACACCAAGCTCATTCATGCCCTCAAGCCTTCGCTCTTCCTTGGCAAGGAAGGTTCTGCTCCCAGACTTTACCTTGCTGGTTCCTCGATATTTTATAACAACTTGAATATGGCTCCCTTGCAGAGGCCTCCCCATCCACCCTATCTAAAGCCAGTGCCTTCGGTGCCTTGTCTGCAAGGTGCCCCCGCCTAGTCACCTATACTGTTTCAGTCCCCTCATGCCACATTGCACTATCTGAATTACCGTTTCTCGTTCACTACTTTGTTACCTTTGTCCACCACTATCCCCAGAGTCTAGAATGTACCAGGCAAATCATAAGTGTTTAATAAATCCTGGTTGAACGGTTGCGTGAATAAACAACAAAGGAAAACTTGTGTTATCTGACAGCCAGTCCAAAGCTCTTCCCATCACAGCACTATCCTTTCTGTTAGAGCGACAATTCTAAAGGTTTGTCCATTCTTTCTTGCATGATAGCCTGCCATGTCCTAGAACCGTCCCATGCATAAGTCTAGGTTCAGGTAACCTGGCTTCTGCTTACCTTTTCAGGCTCAAGTCTGACTTTCACTAGTATCCCATGCTCTCAACACACCAGCAACACCAAACTGTAGTAATTAATAGGACAGCCCTGCAACTTCATGAATCTCTTGTTTTGCAAATGCTCCTTCTACTCAGGATGCTCTGGCCCTTCTCATTTCTAGGGCAAGTTCCTGTTCAGCCTTTAAAACCTATCTTAAATGCAAATCCATCTATGGCTTCTCCCTGGAGTTAATCACTCACTCCAACAGCCTTGCATTACTGCACTCATAACTCTGCTCATCACACTGGAATGTTTTCAAGTCTCTTGTATCTCAAGGACTTCGCACAGTGCCCAGGACATAATAGAGAAGCAATAAACTGTTGCTAAATCGAATGCATGGTAAATCTAACCCCTCCTGCATGAGTCTGAGGACAGCTAGCATGCTATCTACTGCTCACCTTCCTCCTACGTCTTCTCTGTCCCAAACTAAACCCGTAAACCAGGAGAAAATGAACAGTAAATCCAGACAGATGCTATACTTATAAAGCAAAGCTAATGAGAGAAGACAAAATATATTAATGTCAATAAACATGTACACACTAATAACCTCCCCTACAACTCCTGGTGACAGGACCAGGCTGACAACTTCTTTTCCCTATAGTCTACTCTATTTTCCTAAGGTATATAATTTGTTTTGTTAAATTCAATATGTTCTTCCACTCCCTTAACAAGCCTCTCATTCCAGCATCCCTCTAATTCATTAATTATATATTCTTGTTTATTACTTATATATTATTAACACTCAGAGCCATCTTCTTCAGTTCTAGTCTGTTTACCCACCAAACCTTGCCAATTCTCTGCCTGTGATTCCTCTCATGCTGGATCCTTCCTCCCTATTTCCTTACCTCCTAGTCCAGTTTCTTGTCAACTCATGCCATGATGAATGGGTTATACAGCTGGACTCCTATGGCGAGTGTTTCCCTCATTGTAAATCACTCCATGTGCAGCTAAAGCAACCTTGCTCTAATTAGTATCTTCAGCGAGCCACTCCCTCAGTCCTCAGAAACATGTGGAATAATTCCCCTTTGCCCACTTAGTTATACCCAAACACCTTCCAGAAACACAAAACCTCTTTCTTTGGGTCTCCCTCAGACCTCATCAAATTTAGAGCTGTTTACTCCCACATGAACACCACTTCATCCAACAAGATTAAATCCTTTGTCAAACCAAAGCACTGGAAGTATTTCTTATTTCTTTCCTAACAACCAATTTTTTCAGCATGTCTTACTGATTCTGCCTTTAAAATATCTCCCAAATCCATGAACATCACTTCAGCTCCAAGCCAACATCATGGTTCCAGTCATCACTGTGTTTCCCCTGGGACAAGGAAGAGCCTTCGTTTTCATCACTTGCTTTCACTCTTGGCCTTTCTACAGTTTCCCAACTAAAGCATGTCAGGCTAATAGCCAAATTCCCTGCCACGTCCCACAGCCACACCTTTGATCTGGGATCTTGCTGACTTCCCAACCTAGTATCACATCACTCCCTCTTCGTATCACTACACTGCTGCTCCTCTGCTCTTTTCAGAGTCTCAGGGTCCCTGCACTTGACGTTTCAGTTGCTTGACATGAGCTTCCCCTGCCTTTCCCCATGGTTGATGATTTCTCATCTTTTACCTTCTAGCTCAAAACTATTTCTTCCAGAAGCATGCTATCACCGCCATTCTAAAGCTGCCTGTAGTCTCTGTCTATCCTCAGGTAAGGCCTTTCTCTTACTCCTTACCCACCGTAACTCCTATCGTGTGTCATGTTTTCAGTACTATGTATGGGATAAAGGAGATTCTCGTGATGCACTCGGGACACAGCTTCCCTCCTACTTTCGCTCATACGCATCCTCCGCCTGCGAGGGCCCCCACTCCTCCCCTACCAGCCACCGCCCACCGTCCATCCTGGGGTGGATCTTAGGACTCACATCACAAAGAAACGCTACCTGTTCCCTCACATGCTAATCTCAGGATAAGTTAGAAAATATTTTCAAAACATTCTCTTTTCTCCTAGAAATGTTTTTGTTAAATATCATGCAGCACCACCGGGGAAAACAGGTGAGCAACACTGTCCACCGTCACCCCAGGGACTTCATTCGCCCCAGTGCCTCCAGGAGGTTAACATTCCCCGGGTGACATACAAACTTCCCATCCCAGGCTGCAATTTCAAAATAAATGCAGGGAACAGGCAGGCATGTGAGTAGAGTTAGAAAAATGGCTTGTCATGGGAATTTAACGGCGGGGAGGGGGGAAGATTAGTGAGGGGTTTCTCGGTTAAGGTACCAAGATGAGAAAAGGAGCAGAATTTTGGTCAAGGGTCAGAGCTAGAGGAGATGAAAGCAAATCGGTAAAGAAGAGAGTAAAATAATTTCTCCCTATTTAGAACAATGATTAAAAGGCTGAAGTTCTTATAATCTTCTGGTTAACAAAATATATATATTTTTCTTTTTAGCTGATACTAACATTTTTAGGCTTATAATGAAATCACAGAGGTAGACCTTCTAAAGAATAGGCACATTAGTAAAAGGAAGGAAATTTGAATCTATTTCATTTTAATCACATTGCCACGCCTCTCCTGCCCCCCCCAAAACCAACAACAACAAAACCCTGATCTTCTATACAAACTTCATACATCTTTAAAATATCCCTCTCTTTATTAATTTATTTCTCAGATTACAAGAATGTACAAATTTTAAAGTTCTTTTTTCTTTTTGGAGAGCCTGACCACAATCTCAAAGCCCAGTCTTACCACTGTCTGCTGTCAATACTCAGATATTTAGGTATTTTTGTGCAGGCAAAATAAGGTGGTCATTAAAGCACAGACCATGGAGTCACCATCTCTGAAATTTTCAACTCAACAACAGCACTTGTATAACCTTGGGAATATTTTTTAACTTCTCTGTGCCTCAGTTTCTTCATCTGAAAACATGGAATTTTATCTAAGTCATAAGTTTGGACAAATGGGTCAAAACACATACAGTGCTTAACCCAGTGCTGGGAACACACCTGTTGCTCCGCAGGCACTAGCTATTACCACTCTTACTATTATGACACACACGGATGACTGCCTATGGCTGCTGCTCTTTCCATCACACACTTTCAGGCTCGATACTCACAGGGTTAGAGTGTAGCACGGTGAAGAACTCTGGGCTGATGAGGAACTTCACGGGGGGAGACTGTAACAGCAACGTGAGCCTGGATCTGGAGGTAGAGTGGGGCAGGACGTTCTCCCGGCGGAAATCTGGACGGGGCAGACCACAAGGCCTTTCAGGAAGGGCTTTCCACGTCACAGAAATGTATCTATTCACTTCCAACCTGTGCACACCTAGATCATTTGCTATATTGTTCTAGACCCCAAATACTTTTATCTTTGATGTAAATTCCTACATAAAACCTGACTGCTCTTAATTATACTAAAATAAAAATGAATATTGCTAGTCACTGTTAACATTTTAATGCATCCTTAGATGTTTTAAGATCAGACTCAATCTTTTTCCACTATCCCACAGATCCAGAGATTAAAAAGATTAAAGTAATTTATATTCTACTTAGTTTTGTGATTTCCTTCCTTCCTTCCTTCCTTCCTTCCTTCCTTCCTTCCTTCCTTCCTTCCT